CTGGAGTTGGGGCTGCGTCTGAGGGCGGCTGTGTGGGCGGCCCCACTGGCCGGCTGGGCGAAGGGGCGGCTCTCACGCACGGGCAGGAGGAAGACCGCGCACGGCACGCGGGGCGGCACTTACTTCTGCGCGGCGGGCCCCTCTTCTGCGGGCGCGGGCGCGGGCGCGGGCGCAAAGGGGAACGACAGACGGGACGGCTGAGACGACGCTGCGGCAGTCGTTAGAAAAAACATGCAGGTTTGGCGGACAAGATGGAAGCAGCACAGACACCGGCGAGCGCCGGCCCGGGGCTCTCCTGGCGGGAGGCCGGGGGGCGCTCAGAGCTGAGGGAGGGACTTGCCCCGGTGGCAGGTTTCGGGTGGGGCCCACGCCCCTGGCTTCGGAGAATGTGGGCCTAGGGAACCAGCCAGGGCCCCGGACCAGCCTTCTCCCGGCACCCTAGGAAGGGTGATCGGCCCCCCCGCCGGGCAGGGCTTCAGGCCAAGGGTGCCCGCCAGCTAGCACGGGCAGCAGAGCCGCGCACGGGCAAGCGGCTACTCCTATGGTTGGGGAACGTCCTCGTGAGGTGGGAAGGCCAGCGCTGGGCAGCAGCAGGCGGCCTCCCTGGGCGGCCAGGCCGCCCTCCGCCGTGGCTGGGCTCTCCACTCATCACGTGGGCTTATCCGCTTGGGTTCTCCAGTTGCCAGGTCATCGTGTTGCTAAGCAACCGCTGGGCGCACGTGGGATCGTGCCCTGGTTAGACAGACGCGCACATGCCCTCTGGATGCCCTCGCGCCTGCTTTCAGAGCGGCGCGGCAGCCGGCTGGCTCGGAGCTGTGCGCTCCTCTGTGGCGCAGGGCGTGAGGCCTGTCGTCAGGTGACGGCCACTGTTCGTGGAGCCGAGGCAGCGCTGCTAGGCGCCCGCCACCTCCCGCCGCTGCGTCTGGCGCTGGATCCCTCTCGTGTAACGGGCACTTACCCGTGGCCACTCCGGGGGCCCCCGGGCCGGTGTGCGGCACGCACTCACCGCCGCTCCCGACCACGCCGCCCTGCCTGTGTGGACACGAGCGGCCCGGCCCCCGCGGCTCCCAGCGGGGCCCACCCTGAGCAGCGGCGCCGTGAGCAGGTGCCGAGCGGACCCCCATAAAGGTTTTCACCCTCGCGGCCCAGGTCACGAGGCGAGTGACAGCCAGGCGGGGCGCAGGAGGGCCCAGGCGAGGGTTGCACGAGTCTGGGTTCTCTCTGGGCGCGTCGAAGCAGGCCGAGGAGACCCCGGCTCTGGGAAGGGCTTACCCACCCACCATGGGGCCCCCGGTGCAGACTGGCCAGGGTGCCCACCGGCTAACTGATGGTGATGAAGGCAAGAGCCGCAGGCTGGAAGGAGGCCGCCTGAGCGCCAGGCTGGGATGCCTCACCCTCACGCGTGAACAGCACCTGAGGCCAGTTCCAGGCCCGGCTGGCCCCCGACGCGTGGCTGCCAGCTCCTTGGCTGCTGCCCCACGAGTCCCTCGGCTGCGAGGTCGTCAGGCAGTGTCCACTCCCCTCGTCTCCAGCTCTGTGCTTAGGAACCAGCGGGGCGGGGTTGCTTTTAGTAACCAGAACTTTGTTTCAAAGCCAGAGGCTCTTGGGATGGTGCTGAGAGCAGCGGATACCGCAGGGTGGCCGAGCCGTGGGGCAGCAGGCGCGGGGCTTCGAGGACAGCCTAAGGCTGGACCTCCGAGAACTGAGCTCAACCCCGTCTGGGCAGCAGGAGCCCTCGGGGCCACCAGGAGGCAGAGGCCCTGCGCGTGCTTCCTCCCTTCGGTCCTCGTGCCTGAGGGCACAGCGCGCTCAGGGTGCCTGGGGAAGAGCCAGGGGACCCAGCGGGGTCCCCGGGGCCCGTGAGCGGAGCACTCTCCTATTGCCCCTGATGCACAGTGGGCCCCAGGCTTTCACTCCAAAGTGGTTCTCGGCTCCCCAGGGCCACGGCCCTGGCATTTGGGGCCAGAGGTGTAAGGCAGGCAGACTGCTGTGGGCTCCCCTGGTCGCTGTCCCGCGTGTCTGTCCGGGCTCTGCTTGCACGCCGCGCCCCGGCCTCTGGCCCCCACAGTCCACCTGTGACTGCTGCCTGGAAGCTGCGGCCTGGTCTCCCCGAAAGGGAGGTCAGATCGCGGCAGGCCTCTGCCTAGGCCCTGCTGGAGGCCAACTCGGGATAGGCCTGCTCCGCCTGGGGGCCCACTGACCTGGCCTCAGGCCTCGTGCTCACAGCGTGCCCCACACTGGAGCCAGTTCCTTGCCTCTCGGGGTTCAGACGGGGTTCACCCCATGAGAACACCCCCTTCTGCCTGCGCAGGGTCAGCCCTGGGTGGTGCAGTGCCCTCCATGGTGGCTCTTGGGTGCGGTGCTCCCTTTATCTCCAGGGAGCAAGCCCCTGGGGTGGCCCTGGGAGGATGCCCGTGCCCAGGGTAGGCCGAAGTGTTAAGCGTCAGCGACTGCACCTGGCTCTCACTGCATGACCCTCTTCTTCCTGCCCAGCGCAGCGGGGCTTGGGCAGCTCGGGGGCTCCCTGGCGGTGAATTTGGTGGTGTCTGCCGGGCAGGGCCGTGTCTGAAGCCTGAGTGGCCTATGGGCCTGCGCAGTTGCTGCCCCCCGCCACGAGCCCATGCCCAGAGCCAACGTGGGGCTGTCCGCAGCTCCCCCCAGCTGCAGCTGCCCTCCCGGCCACTGGTCACATGAATCCCAGCCTGGGCAGGCCTTGGGCTCCGGGGACCGCCCGCACTCCGCCCTGGGGCCTCAGCCAGGCCCCAGATGTGGCTGGTTCACGTCGGTTCTGAGGGGTGGCAGTGTTTTCTGTGCCTGGCCTCTCTGAGGTCCGGCCCCTGGACCCCACAACTGACCACGCGTTGGCAGTGCCGTGGCTCGTCTTCGCGTCCCCTCTTGGGGTCTGGCCAGCAGTGGACGCGGTCTTGCTTCAGCCGGCAGACGGTGAAAGCACCCTGACCACTTGCACTGTGGGAAAGCCCTGCGCTGCGGGGCGCCCCCAGCTGCTGCTGTGCTGGGGCCAGCGCCCAGCTCTCCCAAGGCCACGCCTGGGGTCAGGTGTCTGGGAAAAGCTCTGTCCCTCTCTAGCGGCTTCCTGTGTGCAGCCCTGTGCCTTGTGCGAGGCCCGTCCAGAGCGCTTCGCTGTGGCTGGGTCCCTGGTGGTGGGGCAGGGCGTGCAAACACACCCCCGAGGGCTTCAGGCTGCAGCCCACCACGAACATGCCGGCCTCGGCCATTTCATCCCGGCACACGGCCTGGAGGGGAAGCGGCAGCTGTGGCAAAGCCAGAAGGGGCTGGGCGCCAGCCTGCCTCTGCCGTGGGGATGTGCCCAGCGACCCCTGGAGCTGGCCGACGTTCCTGGCAGAGAGGCGGGGAGGGCAGGAGCGGCGTCTGCTGCCAGAGACAGCCATGCCTGGGCGAGAAGGTGGCAGCAGGCCCATGGTCGTGGGTACCTGCCACCTCTGCAGCACCTCACCACGCGGGCCCGGGCAGGGGGCTGCTGCGCAGCCGGGGCAGCTGCCGGCCGCCACACTCTGTGCCTCTGCTCGGGGCCATGGGTGAGCGGGCAGAGGCGCTGGCCTCTGGGTGTCTGCGGTGCCAGTGACTGATTGACGCTATCGGCCATCAGGCCCCGGGGGCAGCCCAGGGCCCCCTGGGGCCCCCATGTGGCGGGGGCAGCCCTGCCCAAGGTGGGGAGAGGGCTCCCTGACTTTGCTGGCCCCCACTGTCCATGCCTCTGCATGGGGGTGCAGGATTGGCCAGCCCTGGCGGGGCCCTATCCTGAGGCCAGTGATGTGGGTGGTGATGGCACAGCCCAGAGGCAGTTCTGGCTGCAGGCATGGCCAGGGACCCGGCAGGGTTCTGCAGGGGTGTCTGCTCAGGCCTTCCACCAGAGAGCCGGGGGTCTGCAAGCCTTAGACACCCTCTTTTCTGGGAGATCCTGGTGGGGAGCGACGGGGGGGGGCATGCTAGGGGTTAGGCACGCAGACCCGCTCACAAAGCCCCCAGGTGTAGCCCCTGGCTCTGTGCGGGGCTCTCAGGGAGCCCCCTGGGTATCGGGCCCAGCTGGTGGCCTCAGCTTCTCCCTTCAGACCCCCTTGACCGGAGCGGGGCAGGGGAAGCCTGTGGCCAGCTCTGCACACGGGCCACACTTGGCCTCTCGAGTCCCACCCCCCTGGAGCGGGGTCTTGGCAGGGCTGCCCACCGGCCCTGGGAGCCCCGGCCCTCTGCCTCGGGAGGGCGCTCTGCAGAACGCGAGCACCAGGGCGCGCCTGCGTGGTGTCCGCCCTGAGCAGCGGGCGCAGGGCAGTGGGGCAGGGCGCTGTCCGGGCCCTGGCGCCCATGCTGAGACGGGCCCAGGGCCAGCCCCGGGCGCTGCTTGCCCTCACTAGCCTGGGCCCCCCGAGAAGGGGTCATGCCACTCTGGCAGCGTGCGCCCTCGCCAGCAGGTGGGAGCCGCTGTCACCGACTGCAAGTCGTGTGACAGTCACCGTGAGCCCACTGTGCCCAGCCGCCCCGGGGTGACGTCGGGGCAGGACCCAGAGGGAAAATGTGGCAGTGAGGGGTGGGTGCAGCACCCGCCGTGGGAAGAGCATGGCGCTGGGGACAGGCGTCCCTCCAGGCTGGCTGGAAGGGTTCCCAGCCTGCCCTGCGTTCTCATTACCCGAGTGGGCCTCCAGGGCCCCGGGGTCTGGGACACTTGCGGGGAGCCGGCTCACTGGGGTCAGAGGCCTGGGTGGGCACACTCCGCTCTGCCTAGCAGTGAGGCCGCCCCTACCACTGGCCACACACCAGTGACCAGGGCAGGAGGCCCCCAGCCCCCGACGCAGTGGCGGGCCGTCCCCCAACTGGCTGCCAGAGTTGGCTTCCACTTGTCCAAGGCTAGAGGCCTGTGACAGGCGTGGGGGTGGGAGGGGCCGCTCCGGCCTCCGCGCTGCGCCGGGTCTTCCTCGGAGGCCGCGTGGACCAGGGTGCCGGGCTGCCGCCGTGGCCAGGGCTGCGATGGCTGCGGGCCTGGGCCGCGGAGGTGCCTGTGCCCTCTTCCTGTGCCCGGGCCGCTCCCCAGGGCTACGTCCTGCTCTGCCTGAGGAGGTGGGCTGGCCGCAGCGGCCTGTGCGGCCAGACTAAACTTACCTGGGGGCGAGGCTGGCGGGTTTGGCTCCCGTGGGCGGGTCCCTGCCCTCCCCCGGCTTGGCCGACCTCTCTCGGTTCATTTGCTGCAGGATTGAGTTCAACTCGCTGATCACGTTTGCCTTTGGGCCCGAGAGAGCCGGGCTTTTCACTTCTGGGACGTCGCCCCACAGCTTGGAGGTCCTTGGCTGGATGACCTTGGCCGTGGCCGGCTGCACCCCACCGGGCGGGGGCGGGGGTGCCGGCGGGGGGGTGACGAAGCCGTCCCTGTCGTCCTCGGCCAGCGCATCCTGGTAAAGTGCATTGCTTTTGTGGATGACGGGCTTCATTTTTGGCTTTGGAGGTACTGGGGGCTTGTCCACCATAAACGCCTGCCCGTCGGCGTAGACGGTGCAGGTGTCCACGGCCTCCCCGCCCTCGGAGGACACCGTGGAGATGCTGGACAGCGTGGAGACGGTGCTGGTCGTCTCGAGGTGGTGGTCGCTGCCGCTCCGGCTGTCCACCTCCTCGATCCCAGAGTCCGTGACAGCGTCGAAGTTCTCGGGGGGGGGCAGGAAGGGGGCGGGCAGACAGTTCGAGAGGCCAGCGGGCTTCTTGCCGTCTGTGGCGCCGCTCGGCTGGCCGGAGTTCAACGAGGGGGGCGGGGGGGCGTCGCTTTTCTTTTGCTTGGCCGAGTCCGTGACCGCGGGGGCTGGCGCGACACGGTCGTCGGGAATATCAAAGCTGTTCGCGAATTCCAGGGGAGGAGGCAGCGGCTCCGTAAAAATGAAATCCTCGTCCAGGTCCACGGAGGCCAGGGGGGGCGGGGGGATGCGGAACGGCAAGACGACCGCCTCTTCCACGGAGCCCGCGGCCACGAGGGTCCTGCCGGGCCCCGCGGCGGCGCTGCCGGGCTCGGGGCCGGCGGGGGGCTGCAGGCATGGCCAGGGACCCGGCAGGGTTC